ACTGACTGAGTTTGGTTTTAGGCTGCTTTTAGCAATATTCCAGCAATATCACGGCGGGGGACACCAGAAATGGGTTTCACTCATTGTACCCATGTGGGGATTCGAACACGGGTCTTCGGCGTGACGAGCCAACGCTTTAACCACTAGACTACCCTACCGCCCCCCTTTGCTCCGATGATAAATGGAGATTGTAGCAGGAATAAGCGGCTGGTAACATATACCCCGGTGTGAGGTCCACACAACGTGAAGCAAGGGGTTACCTGACTGATCGCCGCGAATAGCTGCAACATTGATGATGCGGCGTTAAGGAATATTCACTCACTCACTGAAATGCTGGAGCGCAAACACAACAACACAGTCTATATTTTATATGCGCTTGTATCAATGCAAGACGTCTCCATGATTCACGGAGTCAACATTCGGACCGACTGTAGTGGACAATGGGGTTCTAGTGCTCTGGTCCGGGGCGGTGTGTTTGTTTCCGAATAATCCACTGTCCGGCAAAGGCCTTGGTCGAGCGGAAACAGGCTTCAAACACTTCATACAGCGTCACAATGCTCGCCCCGAGGAAGAAGCCCATCTGACCTCCCAGGGTGCCTACAAACACACAAAAACAACAGTTATATCGTGAGTCACTGATGGTACACGTAACAGTCCTGAAAGTTTATTAAATGACCAACTCTTGTGAAAACGGGTAAAAATTAACAGTGCACCCCCATCCCCCACACACCAACCCCCACCTCCACACACGTGTATCAACCGTATATTCCCGATGCAGTATAACATTATACAAATAACATAAAAACTCCACACCCCCCAAAAAAAGAAGAAAAAAAAGAAGAACCCCCCAAAAATACAAACACAAAAAAACAACAAACCCCGACAACAAAAAACAAAACCCCAAGAAAACACACACCGTGACGAATACATGATACGATTTTAATAAAAAGGGAGACAACTTACCCACCATCGAGGTCAGTGTGTACTCCGGTTCGTATTCAAGCTTATGTACAATCAACCGTTCGTACCATATGTTGATGCTGACCAGATTTTGTCTGAAATAAATGGTGTATTAAAGTCGTTTTATTGTCTGCACATTCGTATTCATATCATAGGTTCTGTTGCAACCCATTTCAAAACAAACGACCATTGAAAGAGGAAAACCAGAAACTAAAACGCAAACGGGGAATAGAAACCGGCATGACAAGTCCACGGTTCTATGGTTCTATCCTTGTACGTCCAGTTGAAGGGACAGTGCACGTTCAGGATCCCCCAACTCACTGGGGCTCCTGTTCAACTGAATAGGAGTTATTTGCTTTTGCTAAAATCATATGTTTTCAGAGACTAAGCCTTTGCCTTTCAAACTTTTGTGTGTACTTTCTTTTGCACGGAAGTGTACTTAACCTGGCATATTCCACCGACGGTACGACGCTGTTCCGAACCATGTAGTCGGTGACGGCATTGGAGGGGAATGCACCGTACGACAGCTTGGTGTCGTACACAAAGAATCTACACGGCTTGTGACAATGGCAGAGTTCTCGCTGTGACGTCTGGTTGTGATAGATCAATTCTACAAAATTACAGTGGAAGACAACCTAAAGAAAGTATAATAATATATATTCCTGAATTTCTTCATCCTAATATGTCACCTCATGGTTGCAGCATAGGAGTGAATAAGTTGGTTAACGCTTTATGGTTGCAGCATAGGAGTGAATAAGTTGGTTAAAGTCCATTGCTGAAACATAGGAGGGAATAAGTAGCTTAACGTCCAGTGGCTGCAACACAGGAGGGAATAAGTTGGTTAACGTCCATTGCTGCAACATAGGAGGGAATAAGAAGGTTAACGTCCAGTGACTGCAACATAGGAGGGAATAAGTTGGTTAACGTCCATTGCTGCAACATAGGAGGGAATAAGTAGGTTAACGTCCAGTGGCTGCAACATAGGAGGGAATAAGTTGGTTAACGTCCATTGCTGCAACATAGGAGGGAATAAGTTGGTTAACTTCCATTGCTGCATCATAGGAGGGAATAAGTAGGTTAACGTCCAGTGGCTGCAACATAGGAGGGAATAAGTTGGTTAACGTCCATTGCTGCAACATAGGAGGGAATAAGTTGGTTAACGCCCATTGCTGCAACATAGGAGGGAATAAGTTGGTTAACGTCCATTGCTGCAACATAGGAGGGAATAAGTTGGTTAACGCCCCATGGTTGCAACATAGGAGGGAATAAGTTGGTTAACGCCCCATGGTTGCAACATAGGAGGGAATAATTTGGTGAACGCCCCATGGTTGAAACATAGGAGGGAATAAGTTGGTTCACGCCCCATGATTCACAGTTTCAGGTTGAGTACGGCTTGTCACCTTAAGTAAGAAATTGATGTATTTCTCCACTTTGCTGACTTTAATGACAATGGTGCGGGTACAGTGAGTGAGTACGGTTTTACGTCAACATTCCAGGAATATCACGGCCTGGGACACCAGAAATGTTCTTCACACATTGTACCCATGTGGGGAATCGAAACCAGTTCGATTAAGTTGGTGAACGCCTCGTGGTTGCAACATAGGAGGGAATAAGTTGGTTAACGCCTCATCGCTGCATCATAGGAGAGAATAAGTTGGTTAAGGTCCATTGCTGCAACATAGGAGGAAATAAGTTGGTTAACGTCCCATTGCTGCAACATCTGAGGGAATAAGTTGGTTAACGTCGCTTGGTTGCAACATAGGAGGGAATAAGTTGGTGAACGCCCCATGGTTGCAACATAGGAGGGAATAAGTTGGTTCACGCTGAATGGTTGCAGCATAGGAGGGATTAAGTTGGTGAACGCCCCATGGTTGCAACATAGGAGGGAATAAGTTGGTTCACGCCGAATGGTTGCAGCATAGGAGGGATTAAGTTGGTGAACGCCCCATGGTTGCAACATAGGAGGGAATAAGTTGGTTCACGCCCCATCGCTGCATCATAGGAAGGAATACGTTGATTGACGCCCAATTGCTGCAACAATCCCATGGTTGCAAGATAGGATGGAATAAGTTGGTTTACGCCTCATGGTTGCAACATAGTAGGGAATAATTTGGTTAACGCTTTATGGTTGCAACATAAGATTGAATAAGTTGGTTAACGCCCTATGGTTCCAACATAGGAGGGAATAATTTGGTTAACTTCCCATGGTTGCAACATAGGATTGATTAAGTTGGTTAACGCCCCATGGTTGCAACATAGGAGGGAATAATTTGGTTAACGCCTCATGGTTGCAACATTGGAGGGAATAAATTGGTTAACGCCCCATGGTTGCATCATGGGATTGATTAAGTTAGTTAACGCCTCATGGTTGCAACATAGGAGGGAATAATTTGGTTAACGCCTCATGGTTGCAACATAGGAGGGAATAATTTGGTTAACGCCTCATGGTTGCAACATAGGTGGGAATAATTTGGTTAACGTCCCATGGTTGCAACATAGGAGGGAATAAGTTAGTTAACGCCTCATGGTTGCAACATAGGGGGGAATAAGTTGGTTAAAATATCATGGTTGCAACATAGGATTGATTAAGTTGGTTAACTTCCCATGGTTGCAACATAGGATTGCAACATAGGAGGGAATACGTTGGTTAACGCCCCATGGTTGCAACATAGGAGGGAATAAGTTGGTTAACGCCTCATGGTTGCAACATAGGAGGGAATAAGTTGGTTAACGCCTCATGGTTGCAACATAGGAGGGAATAAGTTGGTTAACGCCCCATGGTTGCAACATAGGAGGGAATACGTTGGTTGACGCCCCATGGTTGCAACATAGGAGGGAATAACTTGGTTCACGCCCCATGATTCACAGTTTCAGGTTGAGTACGGCTTGTCACCTTAAGTAAGAAATTGATGTATTTCTCCACTTTGCTGACTTTAATGACAATGGTGCGGGTACAGTGAGTGAGTACGGTTTTACGCCAACATTCCAGGAATATCACGGCCTGGGACACCAGAAATGTTCTTCACACATTGTACCCATGTGGGGAATCGAAACCAGTTCTACCCCACAGCCTCTTCTGCGAGCACTTTGCCGATAGGATAGGACCATACTTGATTGCTTCGACCTCACTGTCAAGTCAATGGGACGAAACTCTGGATGTTGAATTTGCCAGTCTTTCCCTTGTACTACGGACGTAGGCGTGATTGAACCCCAAGTATAGGCGTGCTATGTAGTGAGGTAAGAAATCCAACTAAGGCTTGTGAGGTGATGTGAAATGGGGTTTATTATTTTGCGTTCAAGATTATTGCACTTAGCAACCAAGGCTATTGCAAGGTTCAATGTTCAAAGCGACGTGCACCAAAAGTTATGGGTGCCGTTGTAAAAAACCACCTTAGCGCTAAGTTTGTGTTGAAGTATGGGAGTTGTAGGCGAGAAAGCGATGGTCCTAATCAGCCACCATAAAGTTGCGATCACCTTAGCTCTAAGTTCGCCTTGTCCAACGCCACGGCGGTATTGTAACCACAATGCCGAGTTCTATATATGGTAACAACAAGTACCATCTTTAAACGTCAAAACCCGAGCATCGAGACGTGAGATGAGAGCAGTAGAATTGGTAATGTCAATCTGTTTAAAGGAATTCATGATTATCCAATGTATCATATCCCTATTACGATCAAAACCCCTGGCATGTATGCTACCACGGTTAATGACATGAGGCTAAATATAGCCATCCAGTTGTAAGCGAAAGCAATTCTGTGCTAACTCTGTGATCAGATGTGGTACAGGGTATGATATAAATCACGATGCAATAGATGGACAATGACGTGGAATACGCATGTTCTTACCGGTGTAAGTAAAGGTGCAGCCGAAGAGTTCCTCCAACGTGCAGTATGGGTATGGCAGGTCGTCTGAAACATGAAACAGGTGTATCTAAAGCTGGGGGCGAGTAGATACGATGCTATACAAAACTTAAGTCTCTACTTCTAGTTCGAGAATGGAGCGATATGCTATGATGCGTAGTGAGTGAGTGAGTGAGTTAAGTTTAACGCTGCACTCAGCAATATTCCAGCTATATGGCGGCGGTCTGTAATTAATCTAATCTGGACCAAAGAATCCCGTGATCAACAGTAACAGCATCGATCTAAGCCTTTGGAATATGACATGTGTCAACCAGGCAAGCGAACATGACAACCCAATCCACTTGGACCAGACAATCCATTGATCAACAGCATGGGCATCGATCTGCGCAATTGGGAACCGATGACATGTATCAACCAAGTCAACGAGCCTGACCACCCGATCCCGTTAGTCGCCTCTTACGACAAGCATGGGTTACTGAAGGTCTAAGCCGGACCTTCACGGGTCTGATGCGTAATAACGAAAGGTACGTTTTCTGCGGTATTTCAGCTCAACTCTTCAACTCTTTAAGCACTTATTTCTCTCAAACCCTTGGCCTGTAGTTTCGGGTTCCTCACTCACCATGGGTCTATTGGAAAGTCGAGTGTCACACTTGCCCAGGCCTAAAGTGGTCCTACTGTTACGAGAGTGTGTTTTTTGTAATTTGTAATATCCATTACTTTAGATTTGTGACTCAATTGCATTGTACTAATATCTGTATGATCATTCATTGTAGCTTGCTCATTGCTTGTTCAATATGTTATTGAATATTTTAGACTTGTCTGTGTTATATTTTGTTGGTTCAAAGGGGACTCTAATACCTTTTGTCACGGCAGTTTATTAACAGTAACACTACACATACAGTTCCTATTGGAGAGTCGGGCGTCACACTTACTCAGGCTTAAAGTGGTCCTACACATAACGTTTGCGGTGGAGAATCGGGTGTATATCCTACAGTGACTTACACCCACAGATTGTGAAGAGCCTCGGGTGTCACACTCATGCTGACCTAAAGTGGTCTCACACCCCCAGAATCGGGTGTATATCTGACTTACAGGAACTTACACTCATAGTTGGTCCAGAGAGTCTTCCATACAACTTACCCGGGTCTGAAGAGGTCTTACACCTACAGTTGGTTGTGGAGTGGTGGCTCAGACACTCGTCTATGCAGGCTTCGAAGCTGTAGGAGGACGCATACTTGAGGGGGTTAGTGAAGGTGGGACTGTCGGTGTCAATGCAGGTGTCATCACCAAACGACTTGTAGGGCTTCGGCAGGAACTTGTACTACAGGTAGAAGCATATAGGCAGAACGTGTAGGACATTTGTTCAACAAACGTTGGGTTAAAAAATCTCACAACAGGAAACGTTGAAGAAACCGCGCCGTCACTGTATGTATGTATGTATGTATGTATGTATGTGTGTGTGTGTGTCTGTGTATGTATGTATGTATGTGTGTGTGTGTGTGTGTGTGTGTGTGTGTGTGTGTGTGTGTGTGTGTGTGTGTGTGTGTGTATGTATGTATGTATGCATGCATGTATGTGTATGTACATTGCATACGTATACGCACAAAACTCAAGTTCCACAAAATGTTACGACATCGCCTACCTGGTGTTTGGTCATGGAGATGTAAGCCGTCGTCCCGGGGGCCACAGCGATCAAGGGATCAAGATGACTCTGTTTGTCAGACGGGTGATTGATGTATATCTATAACAGATCAACAACATCAGATAGCCTATAAGTCAGCAATATGTGGATAAATCTCAATTTATTCCAGCTCGGGAAAGGGCGTACTTATGTGCCATTTTCAAATCTCTCGAAAAGTAAACCATATCAATTCCATCATGTACCCATTAAGGTCCATGTTAGAATTGGTCTTTAGGAACCTATAGTTGGCGACTAAGGAGATCGGGTGGTCAGGCTTGCTTGCCTTGGTTGACACATGGAATCATATTCCAAATGCTTAGATCGATGCTCTTACTGTTGATCACTGCATTGTTTGGTTCAGACTCGATTATTTACATACCGCTGCCATATAGCTGGAATATTTCTGAGTGCAGCCTTAAACAACAAACAAAACAACCAAATTACCATCATGGCTGCCTGGCTGAATGGACCGGGAAAGTAGTGTTCCTGGTGGATGTCCAGGAGAAGCTCCAGAGATCCACTTGGGCCTGGAGTGTTTGTTGTGTGGACTCCATGACGACGGATCATTTCCTCGCTTACAAACATTGATTAACCCAAATATTTATTAAAACTGGTGACGGATTTCAAGCTGTTTTCCATTGTTGCTACTTCTGAGAAAATAGAAATTCAGTTCCAAAGAAGTATTTAGAATCTCTAGCATGTAAAATTTTAATGTACACGTGCTTTGATAATTTACTTTTTAGAAAATGCTTATTGTGGTGTATATACTGAGGTTGGATGAGTCCGTCAATGTGTTATTAGGTTCATTGATAGTTCATAAAATGATTGAATGTAAGTCGACATTCTAAGGTCATTTGAGAGAAGCTCTCTTAAACTTTATTTGTTTAGATGTCTCCTGTACTGGAAGCACCGTTGTTGATATTAGTCATCCAATGCATAAACTATTTTAAATGATAGTTTGGGGACAGATACCTGTTAAACCGGAAGCAGTATCCACTTACACCATTAACGTCTTCAAATACGTCGACACTCACGTCATTCCCTCGGAAGAGAGCCATCAGCATGTGATCCTCTTTCCTGAGGGACATGGTCCTGTAGAGAATGTCTTGCTGTGTCTTCATTAAAGGAGACACTAAAGACATGTTTACCTTTATCATACGGGAGAGAATCGGGTTCAGAGACACAAACAGTTCCTTCATGGCAGTGGGGTTTTCCACTACGTTGCTGTTGTATCCGTTAGCGTTGCAGAATGTAATGGTGGGGAAATCCATGGACGGGAGATATTCCACACTCGACTTGGTTATAACTGGGTACTTCAAGTAAGATAATGTCAGGTCGACAACAATCCACAGCAGACACACGACCATTGAACACAGAATGATGAACCACCATATTCTGCGAAAAGATACGATTATGTGAGTAATGATTAACAGTATTTAGTTTTTAGGGTGTAAATATGTACAAAATTAATAAGTGAGTTATGTGCTACGAGTAGGACAGGGCATGCCTTTTGTTAACTGGAGGCAAGACTCTGTTTCGCCGTGGTGGTTGGGTAGCCTAGTAGTTGAAGCTTTGGGTCGTGACGCTGAAGAGCTGGGTTCAATTCACCTTATAAGTACAAGTGTGAAGCCCATTTCTGGTCCCCCCCCCCCCTCCCCCCAACACACCGTGATATTGCTCGAATATTAGTAAAATCGACGTAAGCCCATAGTCTCCCACTCAACTTTTATTCGGTTGTAAACACTATCACGCAGCCATTCATCGCTGTTCCTTTCCCACTTTCAATCTTTGCCACCTATGATATCCTGTTAGGGTCATACCCTATCTCAGGAATTGCTTTCAGGAAGGCTGTATGGAGACGAGTTTTAACGATTGATATAAAACTTCGCCTGCTTGTTATTGTACGGAATTCGGTATTGACAACACTGGCAAATCTGAATCGTTAGTTCGTACGTTAACTCATACCACGGGAGAAACCGATAAAATTATATATTTGTCTATGGATGACCTAGAGAGGGAAGTAACATTTAGATGAGATTTGTAATATTTTGTTATTTTGTTCTATACAATTATCTTTTTCTCGTCACTTGGTTTTCCTATCGTCAAATTGGTATTGAAATACTTTTCCGAGGACATAATAATAAATCTTAATCATTGGAGTTATTCAGGAGTGGTTATAAGATAAGAGGGAGTCCCACGGAGTCCACGTGCTTGCTGTTAGCAGGACGACGTTTACAGTAGTGTAGTGGAGTGGAGTGGAGTGGAGTGGAGTGGAGTGGAGTGGAGTGGAGTGGAGTGGAGTGGTCACCAAATGTCCCTTACCTCTCAGCACGTGTCTTCTGTGTCTTCACCAGCTTATTGCAGGCATGGAGGCTGGTGTCTTCAGCAAACGAAGACCAGACTTGGCGCCATGGTCCCGGTTTAGCCTTTGGGGGCAGCGCCATCTTCACCCACAGTGTTTGTTTTAGTTCACCTTTAACAGCTATCAAATCACCCTGACTGTTCTCTGTCCATCTGTAACGACACCTGGTTCGTCATCAACGTTTATCCTTTGTCCAGCTTCAGCAGCTATTCAACAAGTATAACAAAATACTGACTTTGAGGGTTTTGGGTTCACCGGCTATTATTCGGTGACCGTTCTCTGTCCATCTGTAACGACGCCTGGTCCGTCCAACGTTTATCCTTTTCCAGCTTCAACAGTTACTCAACAACTTCAACACAATACTGCCTCAATGGGGTCTTTGTTCACCATCACTACGTACCTTGTCCGGCTTAAATGGCCATGCAGATGTATCTGCCCATATTGAAAAACTGCTTGACTATCACCAATGGTTTCTAGATGTGGTTCACCCTAAACTGCTCTGAATCCCTCCGGAACTCCCTGGTTTCATCTCCTATTCCTTTCATACTGGATTGAGTGACTCTTTGTTTCTGTACAATATGTATAAACTATATAGATTAACGTACAGTATAAACGATCACGTACCCAAAGCCAGAATAATTAAACACGCGCCCCTAATGTATAGTTGATGGTCGGCTATTGTGAAAATACAAACCAATATGTACTGACATTTGTTTGATTTATTGACTGTGATTTCCAAAGACCACCAGGCGCCATTTACATGTTTACTGTTCAATGCTTACAGACTTCTCTCATCTCTGTCGATACCGTAATCAAAGGAGAGTGGACTCCATGCTTTGACTCTGTTCATTGGTTTATCGATAATGAAAGCTTTAATCACGTGTAAGCCCGATCACATTTCATGATTAGAATGATTTTATGATAAGAGTTCTATATATGTTGATGGATTCCTAATTACCTTTGGTTAATCGTTGGTAGTGCAGAAAACTGACTGATTGAGTGAGTGAATGAGTGGGTGAGCGAATGAAGGGTGGGTGGTTGGGTTAGTGGGTGAGCGAGTGAGTGGGGGTGGGTGAGTGACTGAGTGAGTGTGAGTGAGTAAGTAAGTGAGTGGGTGAGCGAGTTAGTGGGTGGGGGTGATAATCCGAGAGAGAGAGAGAGAGAGAGAGAGAGAGAGAGAGAGAGAGAGAGAGAGAGAGAGACAGACAGACAGACACACAGAGACAGACAGACAGACACACACACACAGAAGAATCAGTGTATGGATCGCATACATTTACAGACTTCCTTCCACCCAGCCCGTTCTGCAATGCTGAAGCCCTAAACGAAACAAGTCTAGATTTCCTCAGGTCTCCGACCTCACCGAGGCTCTTTTTCATTTAAAATGGAATTAATTAAAAACGTATTATAAATTCAATTCATTTTATTTCGGTTTTATGGGCCGTTGACCATGTACAATAAGAAAACAGTTTACATTATAAAGTGAAGCAAATTATACAGAGAAAAAACAGTTCACTTATATTTTACAGATTTTTAACAGAAAGACATTCTTTAATAAATTTCGAAATTTCGAAACGCTTAAAAGTGTGTGAAATCAAGATATTTAGTCAGTATGCTATCCTGTCCAAAATTAATATCTCTAATATATCATCTCAATGGAAGTGCATGTAAACATATATTTCTTCTAATTGCTATTTGTTATTAATGGAAGTAACATAAAAATCAACATATAAAGATGATTTAACTTCTTTAAAACATCTCAGATGGAGAGATTCGCTTATTTTACTAAGAATACGTTGTTTTCACAATTAAGACGTCTATTCTTAAAAAAGGAAGCAAAATGGAAATATCGCCAACATCCTGACTATACCATACAAATCCGAAACCATAGGAACCTAAAGGATATTAATCGATATCGCCCAAGTCACTCTGCAGGCTGAATCTAATTTCTTCATAAGTAAACAAGACTGTTTTGGATATGGATCCTCGGACATCTTTAAAGGTCACATGCAACCAAAAAATCAAACATAATTAAAACACAATTATCACTTATTTGTGACATATAATATACATTGCTGGTTATGAAAAAACATATAAACAAAATTATAAGCGTACAATCGCAAATCAAAAGTGCAATATTGTGTACTTCGGTTTACTTCCCAAGAAACGAAGCAGCCGGGATACCGAACCCAGTCAGAGCGGGTGGGTGTGCACTCAAGTGTAACGGCTGGTTCATTTGCAGATGCCCTCACGGCTTATTGTGTGTGTATATAAAGAGATGTTGGGTTTTGTAAATACATGCTCATTTTTTGTGTATAACATTTTGCAATCAACAGACATCATAACATGTCATGTGTTCAAGTATCACACCTGCCTGTCTGTGTAATAACATAATGTGACAGAGACCGAACTCGGGCCATAAATCAATGCATTTTGTTTATGGTGTATAGCCTGATTGGTGTTAAGTTCAAATTGCATGTGGTCAGTGATAGCAGCTGTGTATTGACTATTGTCATTAGCAGACAGGCAGGCAGACACACAGGTGTCAGTAAAACAAGACATTGAGTTTTGTCTGTGACAACGACATATCTATATCACAGTTAGAAATTCTGTCAACGCTAAATAATGACATTGCTTTCAAGTATTGAACTGAGAAAGTGTCTCGGTAAGAAGAACGTGTGGTGAAATAGACAAATGAAATTATATAAACAGTTAATTTACTGTCATAACATATAAAATGCTCGCGCCTGTGAGATATCAACAAAACATTAGAAAAATAGCTCACACCAAAGCCTTCAGCGAGTATTCACCGGACAACGCGCTTCCAAGCTGCACGGACCTATTTCACTGCGCACGTGCTATGAGCTCAGCCCAGCTGTTGAAACCCGTTTTCCCCAGAAAAGTCTGGGGAAAATTAGTGAAACGTTTGAACTCCGATTTCGCGCGTTTTTTTTCATCGAGTTATTTTTCAACTTTATAAGTTGAATTCGCATTTTTGACAATATGTTTCGGTAAGTCCATACCGAAAGGTATCAGAATCTGCAAAGTTGTGTTTTACGTTGCATGTGACCTTTAATAAGTTACACCAATAGCTAATGCACCTTACGCAATAATCCACATAAATATTTGATCAACCACAATCTGTTAAAATACTATTACTAGAGACATGCTTTCCAACACCAAGAACATATTTACAAAAATTAGTGTGAAATAGTTCAATCGTTTTCCTTTCCTCAAGTTTCAGCGCCATATAATAACATTGGTTTGACCTTATTATCAAATAATTTGAACATTAAGCTAACAGGCATATTAGGATGTCTGTTAAACAATACCTTCAGAGAAATAAGTGCCTTACTGGCTTTACCAACTAAAGAATGTGTACACTTTGTCCAGGACAACCGAGTAGAAAATAGAATGCCAAGTTAATCATACTATGTTGATGTTTTAACTGGAATGCCATTGTAAAAAAGATTTTTCATAAGAACGAAATAAACCACCATTGCGAAATACCAAAACCTTATCCATATTAACCTCCAGGCCCCAAGTGCTACAATACTCAGGTAAAATATCCATCTTCCTCTGTAAGCCTATCACAGTATCATCAAATAAATTAAGATCATCGGCATACTGACTGACTGACTCAGTTTGGTTTTACGCCGCTTTTAGCAATATTCCAGCAACATCACGGCGGGGGGACACCAGAAATGGGCTTCACACATTGTACCCATGTGGGGATTCGAACCCGGGTCTTCGGCGTGACGAGCCAACGCTTTAGCCACTAGGCTACCCCACAGCCCTCATCGGCATATAACAGAAGTAAATCAACATAATCTGACACAACAGGTACCCCTTAGACCTGAATTCTGCAGCATACCCTGAAACTCTGTTTCTCGCAAAAAGAAAACGGAC